CGCACACACGCACACACGCACACACAATTTCATTTATGCTGGATTTGCCCGCTTGCCAGAACTAGCTGAATGTTTTTCTAATACTCCACATGCGATGTAGTATGCGTTCTTTGTTGGCTTGACTTCGAGGTTAGATTTCGCATTGGGTCTCAAACATGTCTTGGAATGTTCGTCTCTGCTGGATGGGATTCGGGGTCAGATTTCACAAGATGTCCTGGACAACTCAATGAAAGTTCGTCTCTGCTGGATTGGATGCAGGGTTGGGCTTCGCCTTTGTTGGATTGCGCAACGATGGTTCCGCCGCGAAGGTTTCGCCGTTTTGCGATGCAAAGCTGGAGAAACGTAGATGGCACCCTATAGTTTACACCACATGTGTTGCCACGCAGCTAACGTATATTGCACCGCATAGATACAATGCTTCGTCAATGACACCGCGTAGCGGCTGTGTGTGGATATATAGAGGCTCAAGTGCGCGGGCTCGCCCGACGCAGAGGGCTCGCCCCTGCGTCACCTGTTTGGGGCGCTGTCAAACAGCTCTCAGCACTATAGACTTCCCTGCCGCGCTGCAAGGTCAACTCGATTTACTAAACGCACTGGCCACCCAACTGACTCCCGCGGATTTCAGCTCCCGCTGCACGACCATGCTCGCGACCCTGATGAACCAAATGGCTAGGATGCCCAACATCCCGCCGCAGCAGGCCGCGAGGTGAATCCACCTGGTCGCGGCGAGCCAGTTCAATGGGCCGTCGAGGCGCGCGCTCGTCGACGCCGTCGGCAACCTCGGCAACCCGAGCGCCGCCAGGGCCCAGCGCAACTCCGACATCCTGAATATCCACCACTACCTGACCACGCACATCTGGGATGTGATTCAGGACGACAGCCAGCAATACGCCGCGAAGCTCAAAGTGCTAGGAGACTTCTTGGAACAACTGGGCGCGTTGAGTCCAAGCGAGGCCTCGTGCGTCCACCTGACTGCCCAATTATCCACCTGCAGCCGAATCGACATGAGCACCGTGACGTGCGAAGGGGCCCTCGCGGTTGTGAGCGAACTCAAAGCGATGATGAGGGGCATCAGGGCGAGGGCGCCGAGGACTCCAGGGGCCCAAATTTTCGAAATCGAATCCCCCTCGAACCCGCCAGGGGAAGGAGGGTCTTTTTTCGTGCCCTGGGCGGGGGGAACAAGGAAACAGGGAGAGAAAGATGCGAAGGCAGGGATGGGGGGGAGAAGGTGGGGGGTGGGAGAAGAGACCATGCCAGAAGAATTCGCCCCAGGATGCCGCGCCACAATCGGATCTCGAGGCTCGCTGTGGACCCAGGGGACTTGGAGCGGGCGGAGCCAGAGTTGCATCGCAAAATCTACACCGCATGCGGCGGCCACCCAGCACCCAACCGTGTCGACGAGCACGCCTTCGCACAATCGCTGGCGCTACTCCGACGCAACCCAATAGGCAAATCAAACATCAAAAAGAAGGGGGATTGGGGGGGCACAGGGATAAAGGGGGAGGGCGCGATCATGCGAAACTGTCGCCCCATGTCCTTTTGCATCCCCTCATCCTCTGAACCTCTTTCCTTCTTGTCGCCCCTTCTGTCTAAACAAGCATTCGCACATCAGCAAGTTTCGTCGCCCCAATCGCGGGCGCGCGGATCAACTTGCGCGTTCAGCTGCCAGCTCGGAAGTCCCGCTCGGGGATGGTTGCCGCTGCGAGGCAGATGGCCGCGCAGCCACGCAGCCAGGCGATGGGGCGCCCCGCGGGCCAACATCGCGATCTACCTTCACGCGCAGAGGCAGCGCCTCGCGGTTTCAGACCGCCCAGCGTGGCCCTCAATGCCCTTGCCCGGGCAGCTTGCGCCCAGGCCGCTGCTGGCGCTCCCGCCCGCGCCCCAGGCCGCGCCCCCGCAGATGCAATCCGAGACTGAGCCTGCAACAGCGGAGAGGGCATGGCCCCTTGCGCCTCTGGCAGCTGCGGCATCGTTTGAAAGCGTCGCGGCCCCCCTCGAGGACGCGCCGCTCGTTGCTGTTCCGCAGCCGCCCGTCGCCGCCCTAGCGGCGGACGCCGAGGCGACGCCGGCGCAGCGGGCCAACGCCGCTGAGGGCCAGTCGAGGATCCCACCGATCCCTCCCCGCGATGGCTGGGAGGGCGAGGCGGCCTCCGGGGGCTCCCGCGAAGGCGCGGACGCGGCAGCCCCCAGCAGCTCGGGCGCCCCAGTGGGAGCATGGGACACGAGCAACCGCGAGCAGAAGCCCATGCTGGAAATCACGGAAGACGAACTCAGGTTAGTGCTCAAGCGCGCGAAGATCGATTCCAAGATGATGCGCCCAGCGGCATATATGGAACCCGACTCTTGCAAGCACGAGGGCTCCGACGCGGGCGCCCCCCCTGCAGGACGTCGACGCGGACTCCGACGCGAGGATGGCCCCCCAGGACTCAGACGACCAGCTGCTCGTGGGCGCCGACGCCTTCTTGAGGAAGCCTGCTGCGGCGAAGGTGGGCGGCATCCCCACGATGCAGGGGCCTGCCGCGGCGAATCATCAAGAGGCGTTGTCGGGCGAGGCCGACAACCAGGGCGGCAACTCCACGATGAAGAGGCTTGCTGCGGCGAAGCCTCTGGCGATCGCGTCGGCGGAGGGCGAAGCGGAAGACGCCCAAAAAGAAGAAGCAGACTTCCGGGGTGCTGGTCCAGGCGCCGAAACCCAGCGCGACCGCCGCTGCCTCGCAGAGCGGTGCCAAAGTCCTGAAGCGGCCTGCGGCAGCGGGCCCAACACCGACGCCAAAGCGCAGCCGCTCCAGCGAGGAGCTCGGCGATGACGACTTGGACGTGGAGGTCGACGCCTTCAAGATGGGCTTGAAGCGCCCAGAGCTTCAGTGGCCAGGGGCGCCGACGACGCCGCGCCCAGTGTTCCAGTTCAACGGCTGGAACGACTGGACCGACCTCAAGGGGAAGAAGTGGAGGGTCAGGGCCATCGAATGGGAGAACCCTTCAGACTTCGGGTTCGGCTTCGGCCAGCGGGGCCCGGGGCTGGCGAAGAAAGCCCGGGGCAGGCTCGTAGGCCAGATGTGTTCGAAGCCCTAGCATGTAATCCCAGAGATTACAGCGGCTGGCGTGCCCTTTGACGGCTCGCGCCGCAATAGGGGGAACAAAAAGCATCACCTCAATCGGCACCCTGCCATCACATCATCACACCATCAACATCACCACCAGCATCAACACCAACATCAGCGTCATCATCAGCAACATCATCATCGACATATGCGTCGTCACGTCATGCGAATTTGCTCACCACTCCGCCACTATTCTCCCCCTTCTCCCACCCCATCTAAACTCGCGTTCCGGGGAGTTGGCTCGCCACCCCAGAACCCCAACCCTGCGTGAACGAGGGGGTGGCGCAATTGCGAAAGCAAAAAGCGGCGAGCCGACTACGCGTGGAATATGCGTGATCGAGGGGGTGGCGCAATTGCGAAAGCATGAAGCGGCGAGCCGACTACGCGTGGGATATCAAGAGGGATGACGACGACCATCAAGATAACGACGACGGAACCAACGAAACAACGCAGGAACACATTTTGCCGCTGGGGTCTCTGGGGTTTGACATCAAAACCCCCGTTCGAGACGTCCTTCGGGTTCGCGGTTGGGGAGCCCTGAAGGCCCCTCAATTCCTGCGTGTTTTGTGTTTTGTGGCGGGATGTGGCACAGTTGAAGGCTCAACTCCTGTCTAAGCGTCGATTAACTCGCCGACGCGTCAGCGGCTGCCCTCGCAGGGGCTCCCAGAACAGGCGCGTGCGAGTTACACGAGCGAGATGTAGGGAGGTCTTGCGGTCCTTGTGGGCGATTTTTGGGGGTGGCCTCGATCGTTCCAAAAACCAGGCTTAGAGAACGTATCGTTCGAAACTCGCTGAAGGACCCTGGGGCAAGTATGTTTGTGATTTTTGGGGCACCCACCAATGGGGCATCTTGGGCGGTCGCTTGGGCGTCGGAAGATCGAAAGAGCGAGAGACATTACATGTCCAACAACAAAATGGAAACATCACGATTTCCGTTACGCGCGCGCTTTCTTGAAATTCCGTTGAACGTTTCGTTGAAGCCGTCTTGCGCCATTTTGACATTGCTGCGCTCAAGCCGCCATCCCGAGCACGCGAAAAGCATGTTGAAACCTAAGTCAAACCGAAGTCAAACCTAAGTCAAAGTTAAGTAAAAACTAAGTCGAACCTAACTGAACAGCTAACTGCGCGCAGCCGGCCTATAAACCGAGTGCAAGTCAAATGCAATCGGGCTTACAACCAGTTAAGAATAACTCAACTGCAAACCGACTCTACACTGAGCAACTGATCGTAACCTTTCGGCGAATTATAACCAGTTGCTAAGTGCATGTGGAAGTATATGTTATGGTATAACTCAGCATGTCGATGTATGTCTTGAGTTATATCCACATGCTAAGTACCTAAGTGCCCCCGCTCAGCTAAGTGGTAGCCATGGCATGCGCGCCCGAAACAGCTGCAAAGTACAAGGCCCCAGCCCCCAGTCTGCCGACCCCCCGTCAGGGGGGGCCCGAAGGGCGGCGCTGTTGAGATGCTTCTGGACAAAACCGCGTTTCTGCTGGGAGCCCAGATAGCCACGCCCCTTCTTGACATGGAAAAGGTCTATGATTCCCTGAATATGGTTTTGTTGATCCAGACTGCCGAGCAGCTAGATTTTACAGCCATAATGATTGCTCTAGGGATGCAGATTTACTTGGCCCCATTGGTTGCTCAAATGGGGCTGGCGGTGTGAGCGAGCCAGTGTGGCCGACGCGCTCAATTGTAGCTGGATCGCATGTTGCAGTTCCAGTTGCAAGGGTGTTTCTGTTTCCAATTCTGCACAAAGCCCACATTGCCAAGCATGGAGGCAGCGTGCAGCTGTGGTCTTTTACAGACGATACTGCAGCTCGTTGCGAGGGACATCCCCGTTTCGTCAAACCTGCCGCCCCCTCGGTTTCGGAGGCCTTGGCCCACGGGCTTCGGGGGCATAGGCTCATTATTTCGGACGCAACTTGTTTGTTGTGCACCAGTATGGGCTTAGCTAAGGAGCTCGGCCATTTCCTCCTCGGTCTCGGGATGCCGCGCCAGGTGGTCGAAGCTGCGGTTGACCTCGGGGTAGATGCCACTCGAGGCAAGGCACGTAGGTTGGCTGAGTCTAAAGAACGTTTTAAGAAGGCGACCCACAGGTTTGGCCTCATCAGGAAGTTGCGCAGAACAGCCAAGCTTACCAGGATCTCGAAGAACTCATGGAATACTAGGGCCCTTGCTCAGGCCTCTTACGGCCGCCAGCGCAGCGCCCCCCCCCCCCCCCCTTCTGTTATAACCAAGTTCCGTCGCCAAGCTGCGCAGTCCATTGCGGGCCAGGGGGCGGGGAGGTGCCTCGCTAGTATTCTGTCGCTACACATTGGCAGGAAGGAGCCAGCCTTAGAACTAAGGCGTCAACTTGTCTTCGAGTGGTTGATGGGGTGGCGATCGACCTCGCCCCGTCACCCTCGTGCGATTCGCGTGCGGTCGTTTCTCCGTCCCCGTCTGCTTGAAGCCAAGACCAGGTGGGCCCGTGTCAAAGGTCCAGTCAGTGCTGTCATACCTGTGCTTTGTGATGCAGGTTGGTCTCCTCGGCTGGCGCAGTCGTGGACGAGGCCGACTGGTCAAGGCGATGGGACTTGGCAGTTGCCCATGGCGTCGGGCCCAGGTTTTGATGCTCACGATGCGGACTTCACTGGCCTCCTAGATGATCTTACGGGTGGTAACCATAGCAGGTTATGGTGCCAGGCTCCTGAGCACTTCGAAGGCGGGGGCTTGGCGCTGGGTGGGGGTGACTTGCACTGTGCTCGCATGGAGGCCAAACGCATGGAAAACAAACCAAGAGTTTGAAAGCCTTGGTTTGCAACATGCTGTTATTTCAGGGGGTCAGTGGCCGCGGGTCAGGGTGGCTGATAGCGGCTACTTGGTCTCTCGGATTTGCCCCGGGTGCGAGTTGGAAGAGGAGGCCCTTTTCCATCGTGTCTGGGCGCGCTGCGAGAATGTCGGTGAAGAGTTTTGCATGTCCAATGGTTTGTTCACCCAGGCCCAGGCTCAAATCCAGTTGTGTCCTGTGTTTTGGTTGAGCGGCATACCTCCCCGCAGTTGGACCCACCCCCCGAGGCCTGTCGCTGCCCCGTCGAGCAGGTGGTACACGATGGCCCAGAAGACTTCGGAGCCCTCGAACCTCATCCTGTACACGGGCGTGTCGTTTTGTTCGGGGACGGTTCTGGAGGCAAGTTCAGCTCGGATGTGCGAAGAAGACGGCGTGGAATTGCCTTGACCGCGCTTAAGAGCGACCAAGAGGGGGGTTGGTGTCTCGCTGCGGGTGCTCGGCCTGTTCTAGGAGGGCGCAGGCAAACGGCCCCGAGGGCTGAGTTGATGGCTTTCGCCAATGCGCTGGGGTCGGTTCAGTCCTCCTTTATATTTGTTACAGATCACCAACCGTTGCTGCTTGCGCGGTTGTCTGGCAAATATCGTTCCAGGGAAGGCTCCAATCCGGACTTATGGAGTCGCGTCAGAGTTGCCGTTGGAGATCGCTCGCCAGTGGGCCCTTCGATCAAGTGGGTTCTGTCTCTTTCCGAGGCGGCCGAGAACGAATTTGACCCGTTTCTAATTCAAGGGAATGCCCTGGCGGATGGAGGTGCGGGTCGTGCGGCGGGTGAGGGGTTGGTGTCGTGTCGTGTCGTGTCGATTCTGTGGACACTGATCGGTGGAACGGCACGGTAGTGCTAATTCGAGCTAGGGTTCGGAAAGCCCTCGAGTTGGTCGTCGAGGCGGACCCTTGGCTCGGCGAGAGGCTGCCCAAGGAACGGAGGCCCGCCCCCACCGCCCTCTCTCGAGCCATTGCTGCCCCTGTTCGCAGTTTTGTTCAGGTCAGGAGTAAATTCTGGTACGAGGTTTGTAGAATGTTGGCCCCTGAGTCCACGATTTTGAAGGTGGCGGCTTCCCCGTGCAAGAGCCACCTCCCTTCTGTTGAAGTCGGTCCAGGGGGGCAGCAGCATGGTGGCCGCTGGCAAATTCGTCCACCAGTCCCACAACCTACAGGTGTGGGACAATGTTTGTCCGACTTTTCGTGCGAACTGTGGCATATATGCTACCCTGGACGGTCGACAGTTAGAAACCCCTTGTGAACTCATAATTCGCAAGGGTAGAGAGAGCCTCGCACGCATTGCAAAAGGCTTGTATCCGAGACGAGAGGGTGTGCCTGCTCAGCTCAAGGCTGTTTTGGCACAGCGTGGTCTCGGCTAGCCCTCTTGTCCCCCGCACACGACCAGCGCGTAGCCAAATAGTCCAAATCATCCTCCTCCTCCTCCTCCTCCTCCTCCTCCTCCTCCTCCCTCCTCCTCCTCCCCTCCTCCACCTCCTCCTCCCCCTCCACCTCCTGATCCTCTTCCTTCTCCTCCTCCTCCTCCTCCACCTCCTCCCCCTCCTCCTCCTCCTCTTCCTCCTCCTCCTCCTCCTTCTCCCTTCCTCGGGTCGCCTACGGCCCCTGGGGAAACCGTCCAAGGCGGACCCCTCGCTGCTGGAGGCACGGGACGCGGAGGGCCGTACCGCTTCCGACCTGGCCCGCAGGGACCGCCACTTCCGGCTGTGGGCTCTCCTCTTGGCGGTCCGTGCGCGCAGTGGCGCGCAGAGCCTGCGAGCGGCCGTCTGCGCCGTTGTGTCTGTTCTGGGCCCCCTGGAAGTTTTGCGAGAGGTGCTCCGGCCGCCCGTGCCGATTGCGGGCTCTCACGACCGCCTCCGACGGCTTCCCAGTAAGACCATAGAGCCGATGGGGTCCGAGCGCCAGGAGCTGCACCCCGCGTGGCCCGGCGCGGTGCATGACAAGGGTTTGGTCGTGGCCCCGTGGGAGAAGTTGCCCGCTGAGCAGGAGAAGGAAGGCCTCAGGATGAGGAACGCTTGGCCCTGGGTATCTGTGGACTTGTACACGTCGCGCCTGCGCAGCTTAGACCTCACCATCATCCTGGTGTCCCTGGCCCTGATGGGGCGGGCCGTGTCAAACATTGCGGGCGTTCATGATCTCGCGAGCCCCTTAGCCGTGCGCTTCTTACCAGATTATCCATGTACCGACGTCCTTCGCCTAGACCATTGCTTCCATGAGCTCGTGGAGAGTGCATTGACAAATGGTGATCAAACTGCCAAACCAGTGCTCCTCTTCCTATCCGAAGTCATGGCCTCCACCTGTGTGTTTTTCGTCGTCGCGGCGCTTCTCCAATGCAACAATGCGTTCTTTGGCTCGTCGTCTTCCAGCAGAGTGTGGTTCGGTGTATTGGCCGCCTTTTTTCTGGCAGGGTTGGTGCTTCAGATGCAAAGCTTTCTCGACAAGTTGGATGAGCTGAATCCGATGCTGACGTTTGCTGGACCCGCCGACTACAACGCGAATGAGAGAGACGAAGTCAACGCGAATGAGAGAGACGAAGTAACAATTTTGTCTATGACGAAGGATCTTGTTACTGCCAGCTTGGCCACGATGGGCTTGTTTGCCTGCCTGACTGGGATCCTTACGAGCCAGAAGCACAACACCTTCCAGAGGTTCCAACTCCTGGGAGGTTCAATGCAGCATCGGCACTGCTATACAGTGGAGTCCCATGCCAAGAAACACCCTGTTTGCCTCCAGGGTGCCCTGGGTTTCTTGGGTCTCGATGGTCTTGTCATGGCAAACGCGACGCTCCCACGCCAAACATCGATGGGCGTCCTGGGATCTTAGGGTTGGGTTTCTCGTGGAAGGTTTCTTGTGGTCGGACCCCTACTGCATCCGTGCTGGGAATCCGGCCTAGTCCAGCTTGGTCTGGCGTAATCCAGGCTCATTGCTCAATCTGGTTTAATCTCGCCCGCGAAGATTTCCCAGTAGATGCTAGCTAACACAGTCGGGCGGGGCTAGGACGAGGACAAATCCGTTCCAGAGCGTTTCAGCACGCTCTCAGAGCGTTCTGGAACGCTTTGAAACGGCCGCGGCGCCCGATACATCCTCCAGAGCCGCCGGATCTCAGAGATTCTCGATTTATCTTCACCCGATTTGATCCTCGTCCTGGCGTCGTATTACTGTTCGGGCTTCTTCGCTTGTGGGATTCGGTTTGGTTTGGTTTCATTTTACCCACAAAGATTTCCCAGGAGATGCTATCTAACACTCGGGGGTTGCGAAAGATGCCTCAGGCCCAGTGTGCCCCCAGCTTTTCGCTCCATCTTGGAGCCCCTTGGGCCCTCTGGACCTCGTGAGGGAAACTCTGGAGGCCGCGGAGGCCTCCTCAGAAATCCTTGGGGCGCCTTTGGCGCCTGGGCCGAGGACATGAAGGCCGACGCTGACGAGGATGAGAGACGACGACGACGGACGACGGGCGACGGACGACGGACGACGGGCGACGGGCGACGAACGACGACGACGACGACGACGACGACCGTTAGACAGGGGCTCTTCTAATGACGCCCGAAGCACAGGTCTGAGATGGCCGCTCTCTGGTACACCACCTCCAACTTCAAGCCCCCCAGGAACGTCGTCGCCCTTCGGAGGGAGCCCCCAGAGGCCGGTGACGTGCTCCTACTCGCGCCGCAGGAGTTCGGCGCCGAGGCCGAGGAGATGAAGGCCGACAACGGTGACGACGACGGCGACGACGGACACGACGGACGGACGGACGGACGGACGGACGGACGGACGGACGACGACGACGACGACGAGGACGACGACGCCGACGACGACGAACGGACGACGAACGGACGGCGAGGACGACGGACAACGGCGACGACGACGACGGACGACGGAGGACGGACGACGGACGACGGACGACGGGCGACGGACGACGACGACTACGATGAACGGACGACGACGACGACGACGACGACGACCACGACGGCGGACGACGGACGACGGACGACGGATGACGCACGACGGGTGACGGACGACGGACGACGGGCGACGGACTTCGGTCGACGGGCGACGTACGACGGACGACGGGTGATGGACGACGGACGACGGGTGACGGACGACGGACGACGACGACGACGGCGGACGACGACGACGTCGACGGACGACGGATGACGGACGACGGACGACGGACAACGGACAACGACGACGACGACGGACGACGACGACGATGAACGGACGACGACGACGGCGAGGACGAACGGACGACGGCGACGACGACGACGGACGACGTGCGACGGACGACGGACGACGGACGACGGACGACGGGCGACGGGCGACTGACGACAGACGACGGACGACGGACGACGGGCGACGGACCTCGGTCGACGGACGACGTACGACGGACGACTGACAACGGACGACGGATGATTGACGACGGACGAAGGGCGACGCACGACGGACGGACGACGACGACTACGAGGAACGGTCGGCGACGACGCGAGTCGTCGACGACGGGACGGACGGACGGACGGACGGACGACGACGACGACGAGGACGACGAACGGACGACGAGCGGAAGACGACGACGACGGCGACGGCGACGGACGACGTGCGACGGACCTCGGTCGACGGACGACGTACGGCGGACGACGGACAACGGACGACGGATGACGGACGACGGACGACGGGCGACGCACGACGGACGACGACGACGACTACGAGGAACGGTCGGCGACGACGCGAGTCGTCGACGACGGGACGGACGGACGGACGGACGGACGGACGGACGGACGGTCGGACGACGACGATGAGGACGACGAACGGACGACGAACGGACGACGAAAGGACGACGGCGACGGACGACGACAATGACAATGCCGAGGGCAAGGCCGGCGACGGCGGCGGCGACGGCGTCGACGGCGGCGACGGGGACTGGGCAGGAAGGGCGGGCAGGCTCGGCCCTGATGGATGAGGGGGTCGTGAAATGGCTTCAGTCAGAGCCAGGGCCATTCGCGATGCTGGGCCGGTCGTTGGCCCAGCGGCCCCAGGTCGCGGGGTCGTGGGCCTAGCCAGATCTATTTTGCCGGCTGGGGTCGCGGGGTCGTGGGGTCGTGGGCGTAGCCAAAGCAATTCTGGGCTGGGGCGGCGGCGGCTGCCGGTCGGGGTCCCATGGTCGTGGGCGTAGCCGGAGCCATTTCGCCGGGTGGGGTCGCAGGGTCGTGGACGTGAGCAAAGCCTTGCGTCATCTCCTCATTCCTCCTTCTCCCCCACCCCCTCTCCTTTCCTCATCTGTTCTATCCCGAGGCGAAAAGCTCTTATGCCCCAGCGCCTTACATTGCCTTGGGGCATATGAACTGATATGGTTGCTGATGTTCCCTCGCTCCCACACCTCCCTTTCCGCCGCAGCTGGACTTGACGCAGCAGCGCTTTCGGTCCCAGCTTCGGCTGCGGCGACGCAAGGGGCAGTACGATGACGACGACGACGACGAGGAAGTCGAGGGCGTGGACGAGGACGACGGCGAGGACCAAGCAGACTAGCCAGACGGCCCAGTCAGACCGGCCAGGTAGATCAACCAGACCAGCCAGGTATATTAATTTGACCAACCAGACTAGCCAGCCGTTCGGACCAGCGAAGCACAGACCATATTAAGCAGACCAACCTGCCCAGACCAAGCAGACTAGTCCGACCAGCCAGCCCAACTTGTCAGGTAGACCAACCAGACCAGGCAGACCAGCTAGCCGTTTAGACCAGCGAAACCCAGACCAGACTAAGCAGATCAACCTGGCCGGACCAAGCAGACCGACCTGGCCGGACGAACCAGGCCAGACTTGGCCAGTCAAATCGGCCAGGTAGACCAACCAGACCAGTTTAAGTCTTGAGCTGGAGCTTGGCGTCCCGCCGTGCGCTGATCTGGTTGGTCTGGCTGGTCTGGTTGGTCTGTGTCGTGGTGGGGGCATAGGAAGAACGCCAGACCAACGACACCAAGCATACGCACGAGACCAGGCTGGCGAGCCAGACTCATCAGACCAACTAGACGCCTCAGACCAGTCAGCCCGGCCAGCCCAGCCAGACCAGCCAGACCAACCAGGCGAGGCAGGAATTGAAAATCCGCTGGAGAACGAAGCATCAGTCTACAAGGGCAGCCAGATCAATTAGAGCAACCAGACCAACAGGCGAGCCAGACTCACAGCCCAGCAAGCCCAGCGAGACCAGCCAGACCAGCCAGACGAGGCAGGTATTCAACTTCCGCTGGAGAAGAGGCAACAGTATTTCAGTTCGCCCCTGAAGCTCCCGGGGGCCGCCGTCCTGTATTTCAATTCCCCCCTGTGGCCCCCTGACGCCGCCGTCCTGTATTTCAGTTTGCCCCTGAGCCCCCTGTGTCCGCCGTCCTGTATTTCAGTTCGCCCCCGAGGCCCGCTGTGTCCGCCGTCTTGTATTCCGAGGCCCGCTGCGTCCGCCTTCCTGTATTTCAGTTCGCTCCTGAGCAAGAGCAGCCAGACCAACCAGACCAGACCAGACCAGACCAACCAGACCAGACCAATGAACGAGACCAACCAGACCAGCCAGACCAGATGCAAAAAAACTGCGATGCAAAACAAACTGCAAAGCACCACATAAATGCAATGCACAAAACATGCAGTTCGGTCGTCGTGTTGGCTGGCGCTGCCTCGCCGGACCTCCCTAAACCACTCTCGCTCGGATCCTAAGCTAAGGCTGCAAGACGGAACTCAAACCAGACGAACCAGACCAGCCAGACCAGATGCAACAAAAACTGCAGTGCAACAAAACACTGCAAAGCAACAACAACCATGCAATGCAACAAAATCTGCATTTCGGTCGTCGTGGTGGTTGGCGCTGCCTCGCCAGACTTCCGCTAAACCACTTTCGCTCGGATCCTAAGCTGAGGCTGCAAGACGAAGCTCAAGCCAGACGAACCGGACCAGCCAGACCAGATGCAACAAAAATTGCAGTGCAATAAATAATTGCAAAGCAACGAAAATGCAATGCACCAAAACATGCATTTCGGTCGTCGTGGTGATTGGCACTGCCTCGCCGGACCTTCCCTAAGCCACTATCGCCCGGATCTTCAGCTAAGGCTGCAAGACGAAGCTCAAACCAGACCAACCAGACCAGCCAGACCATATCCAGACTTGCTCTTTGTAAGTTTGGCGTTCCGCCGTGCGCTACACGGCTAAGGGCTCTATTGACCCACGCCGCAGAATGATGAAATGTAAGCTTGATGAGGGATACACGTATGACTTCATTGTGTGCTTGTGGCCACACGGTGTACGCTGCACCGCTCCGACTTAACGACTTGAGGCCACCATCATTAACAGCGCAGCGTGTTCTTTCCATTGCTTGATATGCCTTCATTGCGTTGCCGCCAACGGCCTGAAAACGGCCTGCCGTCCTGTATTTCAGTTCGCCCCTGAAGTCGTTTCCTCCCTTCTGTGAAGGCCAGGTAGTCAGGGTTTAGTAGCCTGGCTCGACATCTTCTGGCAAATACAGCTACCGTGCTTGAAGCCAGACACAGTGTCAAGAGGAAGCTCGCAGAGCGCTTTGCACGTGGTGTTTTCCCTACGTCGGAAACAAAGGTGTCGTTCGTGTCAACGTCGGCCTGCCCCGCGTCACGCTGGAGACGGAACGGACCACGGGTGCCTACAGCCCTTCAGGCAGGCGCGCCCCCGGGCAAGAGACACCCCACCATAATGGGTGCACTCGGCCCGCGGGGGTGGGCACATAATTCAAAGATGCTTGTGCCCTTGTTACAGTGTTTCGACAAGTTGTATTCGCTGTGACATTCTCCATATTCCATTCACTTGCTTGTACTTTGTTGCATTGTTTCGATAATACTGTACTCAGTGTTGCAATAGCGGTTGTCTCTCCTCAAGCGATTTGGTCAATCATCAGGCAAACTTCTGGTTATCAGCCGAAAGTCTCTCCAAGAGCTCGTCTTCGGCGGTGCAGCATTTCTCCCATCAGCCAGAGTAGTAGCAGTGGTCGCTTTACCAAAGAGGGGGCTTCGCACGTGCGCTCTGATTGTGGTGCCCGGGAACCGGGATACGAAGTCGGCTCCGCCGTCCTGTGCTCCAGTCAGTGCTCTGGTCACGGGGGCGGGGGGTCGGACATTCAAGGAAAAGGGGGCACCTGCGGCCAAGCCGCCAGGTGCCGACGATGTCGCGAAAGAGGGGGCAGTCGTTTCCTCCCTTCTGTGAAGGCCAGATAGTCAGGGTTTAGTAGCCTGGCTCGACATCTTCTGGCAAATACAGCTACCGTGCTTGAAGCCAGACACAGTGTCAAGAGGAAGCTCACAGAGCGCTTTGCACGTGGTGTTTTCCCTACGTCGGAAACAAAGGTGTCGTTCGTGTCAACGTCGGCCTGCCCCGCGTCACGCTGGAGACGGAACGGACCACGGGTGCCTACAGCCCTTCAGGCAGGCGCGCCCCCGGGCAAGAGACACCCCACCATAATGGGTGCACTCGGCCCGCGGGGGTGGGCACATAATTCAAAGATGCTTGTGCCCTTGTTACAGTGTTTCGACAAGTTGTATTCGCTGTGACATTCTCCATATTCCATTCACTTGCTTGTACTTTGTTGCATTGTTTCGATACTATTGTATTCAGTCTTGCAAAAGCGGTTGTCTCTCATCAAGCGATGTGGTCAATCATCAGGCAAACTTCTCCTGAAGCCCCCGGGGGCCGCCGTCCTGTATTTCAGT